CTCCACCCCCCCCCCACACCAAAGATATGCTGGAAGGTTTATTGGCTCCTATCTTAATCACCCCTGTATGTGTGAGCTAGGGACTCGGGATGCACCGATTTCGGTATCGAGTACCAATAATTTATTTTTCCGGTAATGGCTGATACCGGGAGTCCCATTCAGGAAGCCACCCTGCTTCCCGATTAGCAGGGAAGCCGTCCACATGCTTCTCGTCACTAGGTGACAAAGCATGGAGCCGGCTTTCTGGCCAATCAGGAAGCTGAGCGCTGTGTAATGACGCAGCCCCCGACTTCCTGTCGCTCCATGCTCCCTCACCATGACGTGACGAGGGAGTATGAAGCCGGCTTCCCGACCAATCTGAGAGCCGGGCGCCGCGTCATTACACGCTGCCCGGGAGTGACGAGGGAGTATGAAGCCGGCTTCCCGACCAATCGGAGAGCCGGGCGCCTCGTCATTACAAAAATATATATATATATTTGTGATAGTAGTCTCGTGAGTTCCGACTGTAACCCCACCGCACCCGCTATGCATCTGGGTGAGACCCACTACGTCAACTGACAATGACCTGAGGTGTGCCATGATTTTAAAAGTTCAGTATGCCAAATAAGGGGGCATGCTCATTAAATGGTTGTTGGAAGAAAAGGGGAAGGGAGGGCGGGGAACACCGGAGGATCTATGCAGTATCTCCTCCCCTCCAGCCAGAAATAGCCCCGAGCCACTCTGACTCCGCCCACAAATACGGCAAATGAATTAGCCTTGACATATACGCACACACACACACACACACACACACATATGTATTGCAGTATTTCTGCAATACTGCGTTTTTGTCTTTTTTGACATCTTGTCTACTGGACTAATACGGTTTACCCATTTATATTGCTATATATATATATATACACACAAACATGCAAGGTTTTAATAACTCTTTAAGCTATTGTGGAGCTACAAGTCCCATCCATGAGGCATTGCCCAGCCACTAGAGGACTGTGATATGTAGAGACTTTGTGATGATAGGGGTGTATTCACTTCACGATAGTTATGAGTATCGGAGCTCCACTGATATTATATCCTGTACAGATTTTGTGCATTGTTCAGCTTATTCAGTAAGGCAAAGAAGAGGTCAAGCGATAACTGACGGCAACCACGCACATTTCAAAAGCTTCCTATAGACTAGAACGCTTGGTCCCTGTAATGGCCGCCTTATCGCAAAGACTTTTTGAAGATATTACGAAACATCGGAGGAACTTGGTTTAAAACGGAAACAAGCAGGATACCAAGTGTCCGATGAATATGGAGAACCGATCCCTTAGGCCTATAAATGATTGCAAGATATATAAAGAAGGTTATTCCAGAGGAGTTACATATTTGTAATGTGCAGGCTTAAAAGGGGAAGTGTACTTGTGCCGAGAAGGGAGACATTTATAAATCTACAACATTTGGGCAAATCACAGACCCGAAAAAACGTGATACGCAGACAGATTACCTGATCGCCAACCCTAAGCCCGCCCGAGTGCCATCGCCTTCTGGATCTCTGTGCTGCCCATGGAGGAGACGCTCGGTTTGTACAGGGGTGTCACTAAGAGGAGAAGTAAAGTATTTAAGGATTCCATTTTTAGTCTAGGAAATAAAGTGCAGTTGTCACCCGTAGCAACCGACCAAATACTTTCCGAGCAAAATACAGAGTGCACTGCTCCCAAGTACTCGCTTAAGACCCGGATGCTTTATGGTGGGGGGGCGCTCGTGCTATGCACCATAAATCATGCGAGTGTAGGAAGGAGTATAAGCTGGTTACACTATGGCAATGTTCAAAGGCTGGCAACTTTATTGTCCCAGACAAGTATGGACAAAGAGAATGCAGTCTATCCATCACTAGAGAGTGGTGACATCACTGAGAACATAGCCTATCCGTTCACTAGATAACGGTGACATCACTGCGAACGCAGCCTATCCATTCACTAGAGCGGTGACATCACTCAGAATGCAGCCTATCCCTTCACTAGAGACCGGTGACATCACTGCGAATGCAGCCTAGCCGTTCACTAGAGACCGGTGACATCACTGCAAATGCAGCCTATCCAGTCACTAGAGACCGGTGACATCACTCAGAATACAGCCTATCCACTCACTAGAGAGCGGTGACATCACTGCGAATGCAGCCTATCCATTCACTAGAGAGCGGTGACATCACTCAGAATACAGCCTATCCACTCACTAGAGACCGGTGACATCACTGCGAATGCAGCCTAGCCGTTCACTAGAGACCGGTGACATCACTGCAAATGCAGCCTAACCCTTCACTAGAGACCGGTGACATCACTGCAAATGCAGCCTAGCCGTTCACTACAGACCGGTGACATCACTGAGAATGCAGCCTATCCACTCACTAGAGACCGGTGACATCACTCAGAATACAGCCTATCCAGTCACTAGAGACCGGTGACATCACTCAGAATACAGCCTATCCATTCACTAGAGACCGGTGACATCACTCAGAATACAGCCTATCCATTCACTAGAGACCGGTGACATCACTGCAAATGCAGCCTAGCCGTTCACTAGAGACCGGTGACATCATTGCAAATGCAGCCTAGCCGTTCACTAGAGACCGGTGACATCACTGAGAATGCAGCCTATCCACTCACTAGAGACCGGTGACATCACTCAGAATATAGCCTATCCAGTCACTAGAGACCGGTGACATCACCGAGAACGCAGCCTTGCTTGTGGAAAACCTCTACAACTACACCCAGCTTTTAGGATAAAACACATCATAGGTGGAGATCTGAGGCAGGCCAACTTTTTGACTGTTCATCCAGAACAATAAAGTTGCCAGCATTTGAACTTTCCTGCTGCGCAGCCGGCATTTTCTCCTTCAAATACTTTGAGCTGCTACAGGCAAGACACATTCCTGTGCTACCAATGTTTCCTTTAAGTGCTGCGAGGACAGGGTTAGGGGAACCCGTAATACAAGTGTACAGAAGCCAAAGTGAAAACCTCTAACTCGTTAACAAGGTTGAAGCAAATAATAACGAGGAGGCATGGCAGAAAAATCGGAGGGATTGGGGGGTAGGACCGCACAGCTGTGAAGAGGAGTGGTGTGTACAGTGGAGGCACTAAAACAATGAAAGAAGCCGGCGCTGGTAGCAGCTACGGAGGGGTTGGTAGAAGCACACAGGGCTTTCCTTCACGTCCATTATGATTGATGGCTGGGAGAGTCACAGTAGGGCCTCTGCTTCATCATTTCATACCAGACTTCTGGGAGGACAGGACTTCCTCTTGCCAACAGATTTGGTGTTACATGCAGGGGCTGTCAGCACTTTGCCCCCTGCAGGGTATCCAGGGGCTGAGCCAGAAGACAAAGCAGAGCTGCAGAAATGTTCCCGATTCACAGGCAAAGAATGGGGGACTGATCCTGTCCGGCTTCCTCATCTTCTGGCACCGGGATTCGGGGCAGCAAAGCTGAGCGGGTCAGACCCCAAAACCTTTGTGGGGAGAGATCCTTACGGACTGCCGTGAACTTCCAACCCACGTGACTCCCGCACACCTTGCACTGTGCGATCGTCCAGGCGTACCTGCATCATACAAGAGAATAACAATGTATTAATAGAAGTTTTATTTCTTATGAGCAGTAAATACCTATCCATCCATCCATTCACTGACAAGGCAGCCTATCCGTTGACTAGAGAGCGGTGACATCACTGAGAATGCAGCCTATCCATTCACTAGAGAGCGGTGATATCACCAAGAATGCAGCATATCCAGTCACTAGAGAGCGGTGACATCACTGAGAATGCAGCCTATCCATTCACTAGAGAGCGGTGATATCACCAAGAATGCAGCATATCCAGTCACTAGAGACCGGTGACATCACTCAGAATGCAGCCTATCCATTCACTAGAGAGCGGTGACATCACTGAGAATGCAGCCTATCCAGTCACTAGAGACCGGTGACATCACTGAGACTGCAGCCTATCCAGTCACTAGAGACCGGTGACATCACTGAGAATGCAGCCTATCCATTCACTAGAGAGCGGTGACATCACTGAGAATGCAGCCTATCCCTTCACTAGAGAGCGGTGATATCACCAAGAATGCAGCATATCCAGTCACTAGAGAGCGGTGACATCACTGAGAATGCAGCCTATCCATTCACTAGAGAGCGGTGACATCACTGAGAATGCAGCCTATCCCTTCACTAGAGAGCGGTGACATCACTGAGAGTGCAGCCTATCCATTCACTAGAGACCGGTGACATCACTGAGAATGCAGCCTATCCATTCACTAGAGAGCGGTGACATCACTGAGAATGCAGCCTATCCATTCACTAGAGACCGGTGACATCACTGAGAATGCAGCCTATCCATTCACTAGAGACCGGTGACATCACTGAGAATGCAGCCTATCACTAGAGAGCGGTGACATCACTGAGAATGCAGCCTATCACTAGAGAGCGGTGACATCACTGAGAATGCAGCCTATCACTAGAGACCGGTATGATCATGCAGGCCCAGTCACCTTCTAATAATCATTTTATCAAATTGTTCTCAACAACTAACAACTATTGTGAAAAACATCAAACATGATAACAATCTTGATTTCCTTCTGCAGTAAACATCCTTAACGCTGTCCACATATGTCCTAAGGCCACTTCTGTTTTCTCACGAATGTTTCATGTATGTGCGCTTGTCTGTATCACACCGCACCAGTCCTGACCTCAGGTCATGCTGACCTCTGCAATGACATTACTGACCTCCACAGAAGCCATATCACCCTTCCAATGTTCTATTCTTAAATAACATATTCTCCGTCCTCTTGTATAATGTGTATGTGGCATGGGAACCTCTACAGCGAAGGTCAGCAACCCTAGAGAGCCGGAGATCTACCTGAACAGTATAGAAGAGGTCAAAGTTCACTAGGGTGCAGGGTCTCCCTAGAGTTTGATTGTAGCCACATTGATAATGTATGTACTCATGGCCGGGTCTGTATCGTCTATGCGCGTAATCAATTGGCTGCCATGCTTACGGTGCGGATGTGGCTGAGGCGCACATGTGCAGTGCGGTCGGGATCCTTATCATTGTGCCTGCTCGGGTATCATGCATCTGCTGTCCGGCCAGGGTCCTTATCATTATGTACCCACGCGAGTGCCATGCTTAGGGTGTGCATGCTCACTGTGCCTAGTGTTCAAGGAATCATGGTACACGTAGTCCCAGCGCATCAGATCATACCACTTGCACAGTGCGCACTTCCCGAGCGGATGTTCGGGTGAAGCATCGAATACAGATGTCACCAGCACACCGAGACTCTCCAGTCAGTGCAAATCCATTGAATGAAATAATGTCACTCAGAAAAATCAAGCGCTTTCAGGGCCACACGGGGTCCCCCTTCATTGAGTGAGTGTCTACTCTGAGCCTGATTTAATATACAGGGGTACAGGTAATATACAGGGGTACAGGTACTCCTAGAATGAGATCCTAATAGGTTGGACTTGATGGACTAATGTCTTTATTCAACCTCAAATACTATGTAACTATGTAATGGATTTGCACTGACTGGAGAGTCTCGGTGTGCTGGTCACATCTGTATTTGAAGTTGTTCCATGTGCGCCGCCATCCGCGGTCATTTCAAGCAACCATCATTGTCTTGGAATTTCCGGTAAGGAGTGCTACAGGATCTATGGATATCGAAGCGAAGTAAAAGGGACATGGGGGGTGGAGCTCCTATAAACAGAATGAAGTAAAATGTTTTTGTACACAGGGAGAGGAAAGCCATTTGTTTTACAGCCAGTCACATGGATCTACAGGCGGACAAGTGGACAAAAATCGTGAAAACAAATTATTGATTTTTCTTACCTTTTTGAAATTGTAATACGATGTTATTTTGTTACTATGTTTGTATCCAACAATTACAGCATTAAAAGGAGAACTATGAGATGAGTGATTTCCACTCACCTCATAGTTCTAAGCCGACCTGTGACAATGAGACTGTCACAGGTCGGCTCAGTAGATCGGGAGGTGAGCGAACACATACCGACGTTCGCTCACCTCTCGATCCTGTCGCGGCTCTCTGCCGTGACA